AGTGTCTCCCTGTAATTTAAAGTGTAGCGGGTAAGCAGAAATCCAGCCACATTTTTTTTTTTTAAGTAGCACTCTATTCAGGGAAAAGAAGACACGCCCTGCAGCTAAGCACATAGCAAGTAGCCAAAGCAAAAGAAAGCCCTGGGCCAGTTGGCAGGCAATTCTGTTCTCCTAATGAGTACATAGACTGCGTTTTCTGCCTGTTCCCAAGCTTTCCACTAGTATTTCAAGTGAAAAGAATCAATACATGTACCCCGTGGGAGATGATTCTTTGCAAAAATCATAATTTCTTTTTTAATCTTTAATTTATTTATGTGGTAGTGGGGATGGAATCCAGGACCTTACAATTGCTTCAGCAAGCACTGTGTCACTAAACTGAGCCCCTAAGCCATACCCCAATCTGAATTGCGAATGACTTAAGGAAGAAAGTGACTTAAATTTTAGGCCTCCATAAAAACCAAAGACAAAACAAGTTTGTAAAACAGCAAACATGACTTGGAGAACTAGGAAAGGGAATCGAAAACTTTTGGAGTCACAGAGTACATGTGAGGCTGAGACTGAAAGAAAACCTTGTTTTTAAAATAATTAGCCAGAGCCACAGGCCATTCTGTGCTCAGTCCACTGCATTCCAAGGAGAAGTGTGTCAAAAGTATCACTTTTCCCCTTTAAATAACAAGTCTTCACCAAGGTGACAGGATCAGATATAAACAACAAAAAAAAATCACTTCTTCCTCAATATTTTAACTTTATCTCGGGCTTTTGAAACAAAATCAAGATTTCTCTACGGTTTATACGGTTTATAGGATCTGATTTCGTGAAGACTGGGGATCGCTGAACATTTCACGAATCGAATCCTGACATTGCAGTTCAGCTACCCTGCCCAGTGGTTTGGGTTCCACACATTATGTCTCTGCACCGCCCCCCCCTTTCCCCCACAACCACCGCTCCAGGCCACTTGCCTATAGGTTTACAGGTCCACTCTCCTTTCCCATTCCCCAGGCACAGACACTCTAACATGTAACCGCCGGTCTCGTGGGGCCTCCTCCACTTGTCACCAATCTTGTAGGACTGGCCCCCTTCGTGACAGCGATCTGTGACAGAGAAAGGGCAAGCGTCAGGAGAGCACGGTACAGAAAATCAATGATGTTCCATCTGAGAGAGGGACTTATGTGGGCCCAAATGAGAGCCCTAAACCTGAGAACAGCCCTCCTGCCAGAGGCAGGAGAAAAGCTAACGGCATAACTGCTCAGGTTGGGTCAGTTGTTAAAGAAGTCCCAGGGAAATCTGAATGGCAAGGGGGTCATAAATAAAGATTCCCCCCAGAGAGACTGCAGATAATTTGTTCCCAAGACAAAGAAGGGCTGGGAGGAATGGTCTCCTCTCACACAGTAAATATGCCTCATGGCTGAGCATTCCAATTGCCTGGAGTAGGGACAGGCGACATTTTACTCTAGGGTGTAAATATCTCTCTGCCAGAAAGCAAGCATGCACACTCCTGAGTGTGGAAACCCTGACACTTCCTTAGGCTGTTAAGTCCAATGGCCGAACTGTCTGCAGAATTATAAACACTGTGTACTATTGACTCTTGGATTTTGCCCAAGAAACTTGGCAAAACCCTAACATTAAGTGTTGGGAATATTGGAGTAGTCAGAAGGGACTGATTGGTTCTTTTGGACAGAAGACTTACTTACATTTAAAAGCTAGCTTTAAAAAAGTTGCCTTATTAATAGAAAGTCCTGCAACCCTGTGAGTCATACTGGAAAGATTACCTTAGCTACAGAGTTCATGAAGCCCAGCACCCAAAGTTCCTTGGAAATACACTGTGTTCATCATCTATGTTGTATTTGAGAACAGAAAGATCGGCTCCCTAAGTCTAACCTATTCATTATAAAGAACCAGACTCATGACAAAAAACAAAAGCATGGCTGGTTCAACACTGTGGATGATCACATGACCAATCTGGCTTGAAGATCGAAGGTTATTTAGAATAAGAAGGTCTTTTGGGTATACATTATTGAAAAGAACCAAGAGAGTTACCTGTTTCCACTGTACACACAAACCACACACATAAAACACACACACACACACACACACACAGAGAGAGAGAGAGAGAGAGAGATTACAGCTCTACTTAGACCCATCTTCCTCTACTTAGGTGCAAGAACTAGGGTGGGCGATCACATGGATATGGTCATGGGGGTAAATCCCAAAGTAAGAAATATTCACTCCTGGGCAACAGAACATGGCAGGGACAGGACAGAGCACTACACATTGATGGGACCTCCATCACGTTACAGAATGTCTTTCTTACTTGCAATGGTACAGCTGATTCTCCCTCGCCCAGCCCCGATGCAGGTACAGTCCCAGATCATGGAATCTTTAGGGCGCTCGTAAGTGTCACCCACTTTGTAAGTGTTCCCGGTGTATTTGTCAAAGCAAGTCTCTTCCGCTGTGGAGAAGAAGAAGCCCATGTGAGCCTCACACACACACAAGCTCCTCTACCCTCTCTCATCCATCTGAAGGAAGACACCCCTCTTCCGGTTTACAAGCAGCATGGCTACGTGCAACCGAATGGAGACTTAAAAATGTCAAGTTATGCTTTAATGAAACCATAGTTCTTGGCAAGCTCTGCAATTTGTCCTCTGTTTACAATGTAAAGAACTCTCAGGAAGAGGCCACACCCTAGGTCCAGCTGAGTTGCACAGGACAGATTTCAAATTCCAACCTCAAACTGGGGAAATCAATTCACCGGCCACGTGGGAGGCGAAGAGTTTGAAGGTTGCCTCCCTCTCGGCAGGCGCTGGCCTTTGTCACAGCCTGACTGAAATGTTTCCCCTGGAGCCAAGCAGCTTCTCTGAAGGAACTGCGGTGATTCACAAGAAACATACCAAGGGGCTTCAAAGGCTCAGAAGGGGTGGTTTCTCACTGAACTGCCTCGAACAATGGGGGTAAATCACTTTACACACAAGTGCTTCAAAGTAATTTTTGGCCCCTAACCTGAGAGCCAAAGATCTGAGATAACTTTCTAACAAATTAAACTTTTATAAGTTTTCTTTTGGAAGGAAGAAGGGCCAAAGCCTTTCATTTTTCTAATCAAACTCTTTGGGAGAATAAAAGGAAGGCTTTGGAAACAGTTTGGAATACATTTGTTTTCGAGGTAAGGGAAGCGAGAACGTGAGTGAGTGTCGCTGGATTTACAAAGAGGGAATTGCTGGCAGTTCCCTGGGTGGGGGTGGGGTGTATTTTTATTGAAAGCTAACTTTAATAAGTGAGCATCATTTCTGCCAGTGACCAGACTGCCTTCCACTTACCTTCCGGTTTACTCTCGCAGTTAAAACCCCGGCTTCCTCCATAGCAGGTACAAACCAAGGCGTTGCCCAGGTAGGTGCGTTCCCACTGCTGGTTTATCTGATAGTGTTTCCCATTGTCAAAACAGCCAGCTGTGAAAAATTGAAAGAAGGGAAAGGTTAACAAAATGAAGCTTTTTTTTTTTTTACAGTTTCATCCCTCCTCTTTTTCCCCTACAAAATTATTGAATTTTCCCAACTGAATGGGTGAGCCTGAAAGAATACAAAGTCTCTTAAAAGCAACATTCCACTAAAATACAGATATGGAAGTTAGCTCTCCAAAGACTTAAGCGTTATTTATGTAGGTGGATATTTAGGTGGGTTTTTTTTTTTTATCCTTTAACTTGGCTGAAAGTTATACAATGATGTCATGTCCATCTGGCCAGGGGAACCACATCAGCAAAGTGGAAACACTCTGATAGGCAAATAACAGAAATTACTTTTAAAACATCTGAGAACCATCAGTACTCTTAGTAAAATAATAATAATATAACAGGAAAAGAAAGAAAACTTTAAGTTGTGTGTGCTGCTGACTATGAACCCCCAGCTCTGCGGAAGCTGAGGCAGGAGAACTGAACACAAGCCTGGGCTACACGGGAGAGTATTAGGCTAGCTTAGGCTACAATGTGAGCCCAACTCAAATAAATAAATAAATAAATAAGGGGAACTTTTAAAATTTCCTCTAGCTCAAAGTAAAGCAAGGGCATGCCTCTGAAAAACTCTAAGAGAAATTCCAGTCCTTGCTCTTAGTGAAGAACCCCGAGGTACCCCCAAAAAGCAGCACTGAACCAACCACAGCTCTTTCAAGCTGATCAGAAACTACCGATTTAGATATTCTTTCCTCATTCCCATTTGGAAAATATTTAAGCAACTATTCAGTAATACAGAAAATAAGGATCAGGGTGACCATACTAATTTCATATGTAAAATGTATAGATTCGTGTCACTTTTCTCTTTCACCACAAGTTTTGGAAGGGCACTCTGAAGGTGTACAATTTGTTAGCGCGCTACGGGGGGGTGGGGGAGACACACCATACGGTCCCCGCCTCAACTGCAGGATCTTCTCCAGAGCCCTCCACCCCCAACGAGCCTGTTCAAACCTAAGCCTTTTGTGTCCACAGCTGGCTTCCCTCAAGAAAGCGCACACTCACACACGCTCGCCCAGCCACGCACGCGCGCAAAACTTTAGCTTCAACTTCAGCGGGCGCTGAGGACTGACCCATCCCTGCAGCCCGCTGGTTTCGGCCAGACTCTCGGTACTCACGCTTGCTTTGACTGACAGCCACCGGGGACTGAGGCTGCACGATTTGCTGAGCCTGCCTCCTGCTCTTCCCGGCTTCGGTGCAGCGCACTGCTGTCCCCAGGCACAGGACGGCCAGCAGCAGCAGCCGCCCGGGTCCCGGACCCCTGAGCATCTTGAGTGGACGGGAGGAGAGTCGCCCTCCCCAGGATGCAAGTGGCCCCGAAGTGTGCTTCCTTTCGCAGCCTGCGGGGCGAAGTCCTGAGGTGCGGGCGCCTGTAAGAAGATGGGAAAGAGGGTGGGAGAGGACCAGAAGTTGTGGCCGCAGGTCCCGCTCACGCCCGGGGATCCCTCTCCTCCCCTAGTGCAGCTCAGCGGGTGCGGGCGGCTGAGCCCCAAGAGCCGGGGCTTATATGGGACAGTCCCCTCCCGCCCCCCACGAGGCCCTGCGGGCTGGGGAGGAGGGACCGGCCCGACTCCCCCCACCCTTCCTGCCGCCGCAGCCGCCGCCGACCGCGCTCCGATTGGCCCAGAGTCTGAGTGACGTCACGAGGGACGGTGGGTTCGCCCCGAACAAAAGAGATGCTGATCTCCCGCCAGGTCTGGGGTTAGAGAACTTTTTTTTCCCCTTTTGGTTTCCTTTGCGGTCGTCAAACTTTTTGGAGGAGGATTGGGCGGCGGCGGGGGACGGGGGAGGGTAGGGATGGGAAACAACTGTAAAGTGAGGTAGACTCGGAGGAAAGGGAGGGAGGAGCTGGAACTGTATGAAGCCTGGGGAGGCAAGGCTTGCCCCTCTTTTTACCTTTTTTTTTTTTAAATTGTTGGCTGTGGTGGTGTTTGAGAACATTGCGTCACCTCTGAGAAAAGTCTGTGCTCAACAGAGTGTATTTTTGCGGCGAGCGAAAAAGTGGCCACCACCTTGTCGCTGTAGGAATCCAGACTTCACTTTTGCAGCCCCAGGGCGGGGTGGCTCCTTCTGGGTGCTTTTGCTGGGTCTCCTGTGCGCCGCCTAGGGTCCTCTTTCTTTGCTCTACCCTGTTGGACTCAGACATACCCCCCCACCCCCCGCTAGCCATCCCTACCTGGGTTCGCGAGGAACCGGCTGGGAGAGGGTGAAGCGTGGCAAAGGTGACCCTTCCCTGAGCTTCTACAGCCCCGGGGGCTCTCCGTGGAGCTCTGCAGAGTGCGGGCAAACTCACAGGACCAAGTTCCTCGGTAAAAATGAAGCAACAGTTTCTTTTCTAGATCCCGAGGCAAAGTTTCCCTCTCCTGGGAATGGAGTGCCGGTTTCCCTTAGAAGGAAAGTGAACAGTTGAACTGACTGATTAAGAGGGGAAAAACCTTCCGGTCCATGTCATGTTCCCTGGGACATTTGCAACCAAAGTAGAGACCTAGGTGGCCTCTGTAAGAGAGCTGGGACCGGACGGGGGCGGGGGGGGGAGGGCAGAAAGACTTTTAGGTTTGGCCTTCCTCCGGCCTTCCCCGGAATGCCTTTGAGTGGTTATTTTCTTTTTTGTAGACTTCACAGTCGTGGAAGAATTCCGCTATCCACCCCTCCTGCGCCGCCAGATTTTTTTTTTCATATTTCAATTGTGATTTGCTCCAAGAATGTATAAAGTTCCATTAGCAATCCTCCGGACTTTCTACACTCTTCAAGTTGGAAAGGGGACCGGAGACGTGCCCCTGCGGTCAGCAGCTCTAAACACGGGTCCCTTTTTCCCCCCCAGATACACACAAGCACAGTGGCTTTTGAAGGACTTCAAAAACGAGAAGTCCCCAGTTTTCAAAGCAGCAGATCCTCACCCCAAACTTGGCTTTCTCCTTTGGTTAGGCACGAGGTCTCGTTTGCTTTGAGAACATATTAAAGCTACCAGCAAAGTATGTTATTTCTACCAGGTTCTTGTTTTCGCCAAAAGTTCTGCCTTCAGTGACTGCCGTGAGGCTAACTTGAACTGTGTGCTGTATAAAACCTTCAACACATTAAAGACACAAAACCAACATTTATTTTTATTGATGTAAAGAACTAAAAACAAAAAACCACAGCGAATACCAGTTTCTTATAAGTGGTGTAAAATAACTCTTGAGAATCTTTCTGACCAAAACTCGGAGTTGAAGGAGTGCCATAGATTGCCCCAAATTTAGAATCCCGTCTGGGTTAGTTTCTTTGGAATTTCTCATCGTCCCTTGACAAAACAGTTTTCTCTTTCAGATCTAAAAGGCTCCTTGTAAAACAGTGGACTTCTGGGAAGTGTTCCCTCCAGGGGGGAAAGGGTACCTGGAAATCAGGATGCTTGCAGGACAAACCTGGAGGAAAGGCTTTCTGCAAAAATGTAGATTTTGGAGGAAGGAAATAAGTGGTTAAAAAAAAAGAATTTTGTCACAAAAAAATGATAGTTTGGTGTATTTACTGTACTCAAAATACTTTAGAATAATATACCTACGGGAGTTTGCAGGGAACCCACTTCACATTTCAGGAAAAAAAGTTTTCTCTTTGGGTTCCATAAAAATATCTCTAGCGGCCTGCAAGCAAAAACACAATAATATTTGACTAAAGTTTATAGGAATTCTTAGGACTTCACTCTTTTACTTGAAAGTTGTGTTTTGTTTTTAATTTTGGGGATGGAGACATTTTCTTAGTAAAGATAAGCCTGCCTTGCCACAGTATCCTTCCACAATCAAAATTATCCCCAACTTAGAGATAATTTTACAGACTTCTCTTGGGAGTGGGGAACTGTAGAGATAGCTCCAGCCGTGGCTGCTCTTCCTGAGGACCCGGGGTTCTATTTCCAACACCCACATGGCCGTTCACAACCACCTAGGGAATCTCTGTCCTCAAAATTAAGCAAATTATGCCTCAATAAAGTTGGGGGCTTTGTTTCTTTGTTTTAGGGCTATTTCTGTGTAGCACTTTTGGCATTTCCCGATTTCATTTCAAAACCTTGATCCTAGGCTGCAACAATGTCCACAAAGCGTCCTCATTTCTTCGTTTTTCTAGAGGGAAGTTGGCCTTCAGTAGAGAGGTGGCTTTCTTTCCCCATCAGCCCCTTGTTAGGCTGCTAGAGGCCTGCGTCTGTGATGGTGTGGATGTGGGTAAGAGCCTTGCTTCCTTCCTCCTGCAATTGCCCCGGGACAGAATTTCCCCAGAGTTCCCGACAACGTAGAATTTCACCAAGGAGAAGGGAGCGCAGGCCTGTGAGCTCCGCTGTTGGAAGGAGCGGGCAGGAGCAGGTGCGTGCGGTACACAGCTGAGTCAGGCTGGCTCCTGCCGAGATAATTTATCGGAGCCACTCATTCAGGATCGAAAATAAACCAACTTACAGGATAAGTTGTGAGGGTAAATTTTTACTTTCCAAGCGAAAACGTGGGTTTGTTGAAGACTGATAAACTTTATAGTTAGTGTCCATCCTCCCCAAACGCTTGCCTACTGGGGGAGGGGAATCCCTGATAAGAACATCTGGACTTCAAAAGATACAATTGGGTGACAATGGCTGTTTGTGTTTGGAACTCTTGGCCCTTTCTCCTGCTGTTCAGCTCTCAGTCCTGCCTGCGGAAGCCTTTGGCTGGTGACCTTGAAATTTTCAGTCTCCAGATCTTGTGGCGTGTTCAGAAATTTCCTGAATTTCTATAGGTAGGTTGGATGGAGGTAAATTCCAGTCATTTTTTTTTTGTTTATTTATTTTGGTGTGTCTGTCTGTCTGTCTGTGTAGCTTTGTTGTTGTTTTGTTTTTGTCTTTGCATGAAAGACTTCCTTGGTTTTCTCCTGAAAACACCCGAGTCTGCACAAATGCTGCTCATTAAGCCCAGGTGCAGAAGCAGCAGCAACAGTAACTGCCCCGTGGGCAGCCTCAGTGAACAGAGTGAGCGGTTTGTCCAGAACTGACAGGTAGCCCGCAACCAGGGAGAAAATATTTGATAATGGTTTTAAATTATGCCATGAAAGCTAGCTAGTTTTAACCTAATAAGCATTTTGTTTATATTTAAAGTAACTTTTTTTTTTAAAATCAGCACTTTAAAAAGCCCTAATCTACGCCTTTTGCTCCTTAAAGGGAATACTCTTTTCTCATTAGAATGATGGAACTCCCAAAGGCCTGGCAAAGGAATCTTCTTCCAAGGGGAGAGAGCTTCTGTGTAGCTGGATCACCACGCCAGGCGTCTCTCCTTCCCTAAGACAGGCAGCACGTGGTTGGGAAACTTTTATTTTTATGAATTGTTGATTCCTTTTCCAGTTTGGCTTTATCTTACACTGACAACACGATTTTATGTTCAATTTTGTTTTATGCTGGCAATTTGTTCTGGAAGATCAACATTTTAAAAAAAAACTTGAACGATTTTTCATGTTTAAATTATTTTCAAGTTTTTGCATGACGTGTTTAAAATTTCTCATATGCATTTGGCCAGGAAGGTAGAAATGCACAAAAATAATCACAAATATTATAATTTAAGTAAAAATGTATACCAATAGTAGATTATTTTGATAGAGGTGGTGATATTCATCCTTTGTGTCTAGTTTGTGGTAACAAATTAAGGATATATCCAACTGAATTATAAAAATGAAGACAAAAATACACGTCTCTCAAAATTTATACAGAACCATAATTCAACATATTCTTTTATTAGCTATGAAAGTTTTATTACCATGGAATGGACATTTAAAACCACTGTTTTAAACATGAAAAAGGAAAGGCATGGCTCCCATGCATAGAATCATAACATTTTAATACCTTAATAGAAAAAATTAAGTAGGTACATTTTACTAAATATAGATTTAAGCCAGATAATTTACTAACAAACGACATACTTGGTTTCTCACTCCCCTGTCAACAACTGTCTTGTTTTGCAGAGCTGGGAATGGAACTCAGAGCCTGGCGTATGCTCAGCAAGCATTGTCACACCACCGCATCAGGAACTTGCAGGAAAAATCCCATCATCTTCTCATCCTTACAAATAAGAACCTAGCCGGGTGGCGGTGCACGCATGCCTTTAATCCAAGCACTCAGGAGGCAGAGGCAGGCAGATCTCTGTGAGTTCGGGGCCAGTCTGGTCTACAAGAGCTGGTTCCAAGACAGGCTCCAAAGCTACAGAAAAACCCAGTCTCAAAAAAACCAAAACCAAACCCAAAACCAAAACCCACCAACCAACCAAACAAACAAAAAACAAATGAGGACCTGTGGCTCAGAAAATCTAGAATGGAATGGTATTTTCTAAGTCTCCAGCCTTGTAGAAATGGAGTGTCACTTCATTACTACAAAATTTGGGAGGCTGTCATCTTTAGCGCAAGGCTAATTATCTATAAGAGGTCACCTGTAAAGTTACTCACTGTTGTATTACCGGCTTCTACTTGTGTAAGAGCTGTTCAATCATATAACAGTCTGACTATTTCTTTTTGATGGGGAGGGCAGTAGTGGGGGTGTTTAACCCAGGGCTTTGAACATGCCAAACACACACTACTGAGCCACAAGACCCTACCTCCTAGTTTTAGCATTTTGAATCAAAAATGAAAGATGGTCTTTCAGGGCTCTCTTCTCGCCTGAATGTTTGGTGGAGACAGTCTGTTTTATAGTTGGGGACACTCTGTTTTATAGCTGGCCTCCATAGGCCCAGCACCGTCTTCATTGTGCCCGGGGGACAGTTTGTTTTATAGTTGGCCTCCATAGGCCAGGCAACATCTTCATTGTGCCCTGGGAGTGAGTACTTGATAAATGGACTTGGTAAATGAAGGGAAGACTCTTAGATGATGGCCAGGCGGTCCCAGTCCGTGGAAGCCAGAGGCAGGTGGATCTCTGTGAGTTTAAGGCCAGTCTGGTCTACAAAGTGAGTTCCAGGACAGCCAGGACTGTTACACAGGGAAATTCTGCATCGGAATCAAAAACTCTAAGATGATGAACACTTTCCTGTTCACATGGAGACCACAGCCAGGGGCAGTAGTCAGTACTTTGCATGTGTTATTTAACTTTGTCCTCAAAGCAACTGCCAGAAATAGATATTAACAGCCTCATTTTACTCTCTGAGGCTCAGAGTTTAAAGATGAGAGAGACAGGGCTGGAATTTAAATTAAGGCCCCTGACATAAAATTCATGTTCTTAACCAAGACGTTCATGACTTTCCCTGAAGTCATTTTGCCTCACATAAGTTACAGGAA